GTAGTGATTAGAGCAGCGGGGGCTGGGAGCCAGGACTCCTGGGTTCTCTGCCCAGCACTGCCTTGGCTTCGCTGTTCATTTCCCTGCGGAATCCGTCGCTTTTGTTTTTAGCTGCCGAGAGCCAGAACGGCAACGGGGTGAGTGCCTCAGGCCCCGGCGCCCTCCCCCACCCGCCAAACGTCCCGTCCCACCCCACCAGCGGCCGGATCACCAGGAGCCAGCCGAACCACCAGGGCGCGGGCTCGGCCGGGTCCAGCTCGTCCTCCAGCCCCATCAGCAACGGGAAAGAGACCCGGCGAAGCAGCAAGAGATAACACCGTGGGGTTGGGCCCCCCGCCCCAGCTCGGTGCCGGCTCGCCCCAGGCCCCACTGCCGAGGCAGGAGGCCGGCTGAGCCGGAGGATGAGGAGCGGGGGAGAGACCGTGGCCGGCTGACGCTCCAGGCTAGATCAGAGACAGCGAAACCAAGAGCGTTTTCCTCGCCGCAGTCGCGACCATTTTCACCGGGACTGTGGCGTTCTCCTGAGCAGAGACAGGGAGGGGGGCGCCCCCCCCCCCATTGGAAACCAGCCCTTTATCTTCACGGCTCTGCTCTGAGACTAAGCGGAGCCACAGCCAACAGCCCTGCCCCTGCCGGCATCCCCACGTGCCCCTCTGGGGGCAGGGCCAGCCCCCCTCCTCCCCCCATCTCACGGGATTTTGTTCCTTTGGCGGTTTTTTTACAAATATCCTGAAACTTTTTAGCAAACTTTAAAAAGCTGATTTCGCCAGGTGGGGTCAGTGGCCAAGGGGCAGCTGGAGACAACGCGACCCCTGCTGCTGAGGCCTCCGGGCATCGGACGTGGGGGGCAGCAGTGCCCCCCCCCCCCTTGCCCCTGGGAGGGGCCCGTTTGGGTCTTGGTGTCTCAGCGGAGGCTACCTAAGACTGAGCTTGGAGACAAATCTCCTCTCTCCCCGGGGCCAGCCCCAGCTCAGGGAACCTCGGGGCACACGCAGCGGAAGGGGGGGCGATGGGGCGGGGTGCTGGCTCCAGCCCAGGTCGGCCGTGATCCCCGCCTGGGCGCTCTGGGCCCCCTGCGTGGAACGAGTCTCAGCCGGGTTCCTAGCAGACAAACGTCTCCGTCACCCCGAGCGCCCCCCGCAGCCCGGAGCTGGTGGGGGCAGCTCCCGGGACGGGCGGCCCCGGGGCAGGGGCTAGATGGAGGATTTGGGCTCCCCCGAATCACTGCGCAGGGAAGGGCTGTCACGTCTGCCCACCCGGGGAGGGATCGGGCCTGGGGCTGACCTCGGAGCCGTTCTCCCTCCCCCCAAGCCCGATGCTCCCAGCGCCCCCCCCTTTTATTCTGTTTTAACCCCCCAACTCCCTTTTCTTGTCTCACCCGAGTGGAGTCGCTGGCCTGCCCGGGGCTGCGCTGGAATAAAGACCGTGCCGCCCTCCCCCTCCGCCTGCCGTGTGGTCGCTTGCGCCCGGGGGACGCTTTGTACCGGTCACACCGGGCGTTAGCCCCCGAGTCCGGCACCGGAGCAGCTTGTCATGGCTGAGATCAAACCCCCCCTTCCCAAGCCCCGTGACGAACCCCAGCCCCGTATGCGGGCGGCAGCGTGGCCCCGCTGGGCGTTATACTAGATCAAAGGGGCTGCTGTATACAGCTCCTGCCCGAGTCACACTGAGCATTAGACGGGAAAATCTCTCCCCTGGGCGGGACGAGGCCCGTCCCCAGGGCACGGTTGCCCCTGCCGCTCAGCGAGCCCCAAGGGGGCACGAACTGCGAAGGGGCAGCGGGGCCCAGGGGGCTGCACTGGGCCGCAGGCGACCCAGCTCTGTCCCTGACTGGTGGGGCTCTGGGCTGGATCCGAACCCAGGAGCCCGGCCCCAGCTCCTGCTAAGAGAAGACAGCGCCCAGGGTGGGTGCAGGGCTGCGGCTTGGGACCAGTCCCCTCCCTCTGCACCTCGGCCAGCGCCCTGCAGGCTGATAGAGGCAGGAAACCTACAGGGACTCACCCCTTTAGTCTCCTCCCCAGCCCTCCCTTCAGGCCCCTGGGGTGGGGGGGGGGGGAAAGGGGACGGGCTTCGGGGCGACCTGCCTGACCCTTGCCCCTCAGGTACTGGAGCAGCCAGATTTGTGCAGCGAAGGGCAGGGACCGAGACGCTGCGCCAGGTAAGTGCATTTCCTTTCCCCGCTTCTGGGGGGCCAGATCCCCCATGGGGGGTGGGGGAAGCCCCAGTACTGGCAAAGATTCTGCCAGACAAGAATCAGCCCCCTCCAAGGCTGTCCCCCCTGTCCCCAAAGTAAACCGAAGGGGGGGCTGGAGCCGGCACCGCTGGCCCCGGCCCTGGGGCAGAGTTGGAAGCTGGTGTTTTTGGACGGGGGCAGGGGAAGGTGTCTGGCACCCGTCCTGGCCAGACGCAGCCCCCCGGGGGGGTCTGCAAAGAGCACCAGGGCGGTTTCCCAGAGGCTCTTCCTGGCGTGTTTGCCCGGTGCCCTCATGGCACGAAGTCAGCGCTAAGGGTGGTGGCAGGGCGCCCCCAGGGAACACAGTGCTGTTTGTGCAGCGCCTGGCGCGCTCAGGCCCGGCTCTACCCTGCTACAGCTAATAAGTGCACCAACGCGGCAGGTCCCATATGTGTCCTCAGGCTCTCGAGGGGCAGATCTAGCGGGTTGGTAAGACCAGGGGGTGGATGGGAAGCGGCTGGGGTAGGACTCCCGCAGGAGCGTCTAGGCGAGGACCTATTCCTGGGGCTGGTAGCGGGGAGGGTTCCAGGCTGCCCATCGAGCACGTGAGGCGACAGAGCCGTGCCAGTTCTCCTGCTAATCGGGGCAATTCCCAAAGCCCCAGCGCCCGGAGTCATGTGAAAACAAGACGGGCATTTATAGGATTTTAACCCCGTGACACCCAGGTGTCCATCATCTGCCAGGCCGGGGTCATGCCCTGCCCATCCCGCACTGGGACGATTTCCAGGCTGGCTGGAATCGAGGGGGGTGGGGGGCAGCCATGGGACCTGCCCTAGGTATTGTGCAAACGGCCAAGTGGATTTACCTTGGGCCCGGACAATTTAGGGGTGGGGGGGCAGCACGGGGGGGACACAGGCGGGAGAAGGATTTGAGATTCCCAGTCACCAGCTCTGCCATGCGGTGGCCTACCCCAGCTCCACCCCCCCCCCCCCCGCCCTGCTCAGCGCCTGTCCCTTGAGTCCTCCCGCTGGAGGGGCAATAAAGCGGGGGGAGGGAGACGTCTCAGTAGCCTGCGCCTCCCCCCGCCCTGGGAGCGGGACATTGGATGCTGCTGCCCCAGCTCCGGGCTTTTCTGCCTCTGGGGCCCGGAGCCTCCAGCCACTGCGGCCCCAGCTCAGTTCTTGCCCCCCAGGAGCCAGGGCACAGTCCCACAGCGGCTGCCTGGTTTGACACAGGGCTGGCCTGGCAGGCGGGTGGGGGGAACCAGGCGCTGGCTTCATGTCTGAGTTATCACCCAGGTGAATCATTAACACCTCGCAATAAAGTACCTGGGCTTGCAAAACTGCCTGTCAAGGACACATGCTCCCCACCCTTCTCCAGGGACACCCCAGTAATTGTACCTTGCTCAGACCGGATAGCAGGCGGGGGGCCAAATCTGGGTCTGGGATCCCCGGCTCCACCCTGGGCGGCTCCTGGACTGTCCGGCAGCCTGGAAAGAGACGGCCGGACAGGTGAAACTGGGGACGCTTTGCCCCCCGGGGCCCAGCGAGCCGCAGGCTGACGGCCCATCTCCTCCTCCCAGCCAGAGGCAGCCCCCCCGCCCCTCCCCGCAGCGGCCCGCGGGCCAGACGTGGCTTCCTGGGTGGGGAGTTCCAAGGCTGCCAAGCAGGAGAAGTTGCACCTTCACCTCCTGGCGCTGCAGCCGATCGCTCCACACCTGCGCGCGAGGCCGATGACCAGAACCGAGCCCGGCAGCCGGCGCCCGCTGCTGCCGAGGTGGGTGCAAGACGCCCTGTCCCGGGCCGTTCCGGTCAGTTCCCTCCTGACCCCGGAGAGCGGCCGTCGCACACGGTTAGTTTTGTAGCACTCGCCGCGGTGTCCAGCGCTGGCCGGCCTCGTTCTACCCCGGGGAATGCTCAGCCCGGGGCCTTCGGCCAATCTCGGGGGGGTCTCCCTGCTCTGGCGGCGGCGAGAGACCCCGGCCCATCGCGCTAGGCGCTGTACACCTAGAACAAAGAGAGAACGCAGGGCCGGGGGAAGCCCTGGGGAACAATGAGGTGACAATCGCAGTGTCCACATCTCCGAGGGTGGATTTCTGGGTCTGTTCGTACAGCCCTAGCGCAAAGGGGTCTCAGGCAGGACACACATAATACAGCGGTGAGTTCCACAGGCCTGGCGCTGGGTTCCCTTCGTGCCCCAGGGGCAAGGGGCAGCTCCCTGTCTCAGCTGCACACAGCAGAGGGGCCAGCTTGTGAGTCCCAGCGCCGGGGTGTGTGTGTGTGTCAGAGGGACTGAACGTACGTGTTCACACAAGTGTGAGGGACACGCAGAGCCGGGCCCCTTAATCCAGGCGCTCTGACCCGGTGTCTAACTCAATCAGCGCACGCTCCTCACGCCCGCTTCAAATCCCAGCCCAGCTCCCTGCCCGTCGCCTCCGGCTGGCCAGTCCTTGCTGCGAGCCGGGCGAGGGACGAGCCTGCGCCGCTAACCAGCTGCGCTGCCCCACGACTGCGCCAGCTTCGCTGCGGGACAGACACGGCCGGGGAGGAACAGGCAGCAACAGGTGAGTTTTGACTGAGGCTGTTTCCAGGGCTGATTCCCCCGTTCCCTGTCTCTGCTGTTCAGAGACCCCCCTGGGATATTCATCTTGGAGGGAGCTGCTCTCTGCCTCAGTTTCCCCACCTGGAATCCTGGGCTCACTCTCAGCTGCCTTCGCTGGGTGGGGTTGAAAAGACTCAGGTCTCGTCCACACGAGAGAGTTTTAACTCTCCTGGGCCAGTTAAAGCAGCTGCTGGTCTCTCGTTGCGGGGCGTAACACACGGTACTGGTGCAAGGCCCCTTTACACGGGTACAACCACTTCTGCACGACAGCTTCCCTCGGTGGGACACTTCTAACCCCAGGCCTTATTTCTCCAACCACAGCCCAGGCACAGGGGAGAGCGAGTCGCTCACTAGGCAAAGTGCGGGAGGGGAAACTGAGGCATGGAACGAGGGCAGGACCTGCCCGCTGTCACCCAGCAGGCCAGAGCCCCACTCCCCTAGGTCCCGGGCCTGGGCTCACTGGACCCACTGCCTCAGGCAGACCAGGCGTCAGCAGAGTAAAGCGTTGACTGTCCGGCTCCCACCGTCTCTCTCCCTCCGGCCCCTCCCAGCCCCCCAGGCGAAGCAGTTCCGAGCGGCGGTGGCTGGAGCCGGGCGTTATTTGGCTGTATATTTAACAGGCCCAAGGGGTGGGGGCACCTGTTTGAGTGTTTCTTTGGCTTGATTTGGTCCCTGTTCCCCATTAGAACGCCCAGCCCCCCAGGACAGGGGAGACCCCCTCCCCCCTTTGCACCACTGGAGAAAATCTGTTCCTCTGACACCACTGGGCAGCCGGGAATGGGACCCAGGAGTCCGAGCTGGTAGCCGCCAGCTCCCTCCAGAAGTTCTGCCAGAGCCTGGCCTATTTAGGTCCCGCCTGAGGCCTGGGCTGTACAAACTGGGGCCCGGGGGGGGGCCACCAACCGGGTGCTGCCCAGAGCCGTGCGGTAGAACAGGGCACAGGGGAGAGGCCCATTCACCCCCCTCAGCTCTGCCCCCCCCGTGCCAACAGATCTCCCACGAGGGGGTGCCCCAGGCAGCGCACCTGGCCAGGTGCGACCCCAGCTGACAGCCCCTCCCCGTCCCGCTCGGCGCCAGGCTCCCCCGCCCCCCGGATGGACCGGAGGAAGCCGCGGCTGCTGCTGGCCGGACTCTGGGTCGCTGCCCTCCTGCTGCCGGGCGAGTGCCGCCCGCCCCCCGGCCTGCCCGCCTCGGCGCCGGCCCCGCTGGAGGACGCAGAGCAGGAGCAGGGCTACTACCTGCAGCAGCTCTTCGGGCTGTACGGGGAGAACGGCACCTTGTCCTTCCACGGCCTCACCCGCCTGCTGCGGAGCCTGGGCCTGGGCCAGGTGCAGGTGGTGGAGATGGAGCACGAGGCGCTGGGCCACGGGCACGTCAGCCACCTGGACATCCTGGAGGTGCAGGACAACAAGCACCGGCACTCGCACTCGGCCCTGGAGCACGCCGGGGCGGAGCCGCCCAGCCTGGACCCCGAGGGGCGGAGACAGAACGGCACCTCCAGGTACCCGCCGCTGCCCCTCACTCCCGACCCGCAGCCCCTGCTAGCCCAGCCCTGGGCTCCCCCCCCAGCTCTGCCGACCCGCAGCCCCTGCTAGCCCAGCCCTGGGCTCCTCACCCCCAGCTCTGCCGGTGCCCCTCACTGCCGACCCGCAGCCCCTGATAGCCCAGCCCTGGGCTCCCCCCCCAGCTCTGCCGGTGCCCCTCACTGCCAACCCGCAGCCCCTGGTACCCCCGCCCGCTCCCCACCCCCAGCTCTGCCGGTGCCCCTCACTCCCGACCCACAGCCGCTCGATATTCCAGTCCTGCCGCTGCCCATCAGTCCCAGTCATCCCCGCCCGGCCCGGGGCTGCAGCTGGGAACTGGGAATTCGTTTTTGTTCATTTCTTTCAGGCCGGGATCCCCTGGAAGGAACCAGCCAGAGACCGTCCGGCTGCACCAGGCTGACCCGACGCCCAGGCCGCGAGCTGCCTCCGGGGGCACCCTCCCGCCCTCGGACACAGAAGGGCCCAGCGCCACCTGCCCCCCAGGGCACCCTGGGAGCAGAAGCGACCCTGTCCAGCCCCCCCCAGCCCCGCCCCGCCTGACCCTGCTGGAGCGGGTGCTGGCCCTGGACCACTCCGTCACCGACCACCTGCACGAGGATGTGAGGGGGGGCTGCACTGCGGTTCTCAGACCCTCTGGGGTCTAAAGGGGAGGGATTCTGAAGGGGGGGCCAGACATCCTCAGCCAGAGGGGTGGGGGTCTCAGTGCTGACCAGCCTGGCTCTAACCCCATGCCCCGCAGCGCCGGGAACGGAACCCAGGTGTCCTGGCCCCACAGGCCTCTGCTACTCACTAGACAGCCCCTGCGTCCTAGCAATCTGGGGCTTGGGAGGGCAGGTGGGTTACGCCCCTTCCCCAGGTGGCCTCGCTAACCCCCGCTGTCCCCCCCCCCCAAAGTGTCTCAACGTGACGCAGCTGCTGGTGAACTTCGGGCTGAATGCCGTCTCCCAGATCACGCCCGAGCAGTTCACGCTGCTGTGCCCGGCCCTGCTCTACCAGATCGACAGCCGGGTCTGCGTCCGGCACCACGACCAGCTGACACCAGAGCCCCTGGCGGGGGCGCTGTGGCCAGGTAACACCCTCCCCTCCCCCACCCCTGCCCAGGGCCAGGGCCTTGGGAAGGGGCAGCCATCCCCGATGGGGAAACCGAGGCACAGAGCGGGGAGAGGACAGGCACTAGGAGCCTCTCCTTGTGCCAAGGGATTTGCCTGCCCTGTGGCTTTGCCAAACCCCCAGGGTGTCGGGGTGGGGGGGGGATAGAGCCCAGGCCCCCCCAGCTGCCTCACCCTGCTTCCTCTTGCAGTTCTAGGCTGGGGCTTCCTGGCCATCACGCTCATCAGCCTGCCCTCGGCGCTGGCCCTCCTGCTGGTGCCTTTCCTCGGCCGCGACTTCGGCCGCCTCCTGCTGGCCTTCCTGGTGGCGCTGGCCGTGGGGACGCTGTGCGGGGACGCCCTCCTTCACCTGTGGCCGCACGTATGTATGGGCTCGCCGGGCCCCCCAGCGCCCCCTGACCCCCGCCGGGCCCCCCAGCGCCCGGCCCCCAGCCCGGCAGGCCCGAGCTGGAAAGCCTGGGACCGGGGAAGCACCCATGGGAGGCGGCGGGAGACGAGGTCATCTGTGGCTCCATCCAGCGGAGCGTCTGCATCACAGCCAGGGAGCCCATCGCCCCCTCCCCCAGCCCCCCGCCTATCCCAGCTTGGCACCTGGGCACTGTCCCAAACCACCGGCCATCCCGCCCCCCCCTCCCAGAGTCCCCCCCATTGAATCCCCCCGATTTCTCCCTGCCCCCCGGCTCTGGGAGCCCCCAAGAGGGACCCTGAGCTCCCCTCCCTCCTTCTGCGTTTAGGCCCAAGGGAGGCACCAGGAAACCCCGCGGGAGCAGCAGGACTTGGTGCTGAAGGGGCTGTCGGTCCTGGGGGGCATTTATGTCTTGTTCCTCATCGAACACCTCCTGGGCACGCTGAAGCAGAGACGGAGCCGGCCGGTAAGAGCTCGTGGGTCGCCCCTGGCTGGCCGGGAGCCCGCCTAGGGCAGGGCGCTGGACGGAGGGTGGGACAGCAGGGGGCGCCCTTCCCATCAGCGCCCTGGGGCAATGCCAGGGGGCACCGTGCTGCCGGCTTCCGGCTGGGCCCCGATGCCGCGGGGGGGCTGCAGAGCTGACGAGAGCAGGAGCGTTGGCACCGGTGTCCTGGCCCAGGCCCCACCGGGGTCAGCACCTGCTGGGGGGGGATGAGGGGGGTGGCGCTGCCTGTCCGGGGCAGCTATGTGGTGACGGCACATCTGCTACTGCTGCGTCCCGGCTCCCTGGGCCCGTCCAGCTCCACGTCCTGGCTCCCTGGGCCCATCCAGGTCCTGGCGTCGGGTCCGTCCAGCACCACGTCCCAGCTCCCTGGGCCCGTCCCAGCTCCCTGGGCCCATCCACCACCACATCCCGGCTCCCTGGGTCCGTCCACGACCACGTCCCGGCTCCCTAGGCCCGTCCACCACCACGTCCTGGCTCCCTGGGCCTGTCCACCACCACGTCCCAGCTCCTTGGGCCCGTCCAGCACCACGTCCCGGCTCCCTGGGCCTGTCCCAGCATCGGGTCCATCCAGCACCGTGGCCCACAAGCGCCTGGTTTGCGCCCGTCTAGGATAACGCGGGTGGGGCCCAGCCCAGGTGTCTCCCACACCCAGCGGGCGCGATGCCCGGAGCCAGCCGGGCCCTGGCCCGTCGGGCGGCTTTCAGCTCTCGCCGTTGCTTTCCCGCCCTCAGAGCCGCGCCGCGGGAAGGAGCCCCGCTCTGGATGCAGACGGAAACCGCGGCTTGACCCTGCGGGCATCGGCGCCTTCCCCAGGTGAGCCTGGAGCTGTCGCTCGCTCCTGCCCCCTGCACTGAGGCTGGAGAAGCCAGAAGCTGCCCCCGCCCCCAGCCAGTGCCCCTGCCCCGCTCCCCACAGCGCCCCCTGCTGGGAGAGGCCAGCACAGAGGCAGTTGTCTGGGCCGCCCGACCTCTCCAGTCCGGCACTTCCCTGCAGCCTGGTCCCCAGCCCCAGCCACCGTTCCCCCGCCGGCTCGGGGCTGCTACCAGCCTGCGGCTGCTCTTCCGAAGGCGCAGAAGCCGAATCGCAGCGTCTGACGGCCCCGGGGCCGCGCAGCGACAGCCCCGGCCGGGGAGAGGAGGGGGCGAGGCAGCCAGCGCCAAGCGCGGACGGACTGACGGAGGAGCTGAGCCACCACGGACACTCGCATGGCCCGGCGGCCGGCGGCGCCGACATCGCCTGGATGGTCATCCTGGGGGACGGGATACACAACCTGACGGATGGGCTGGCCATCGGTAAGGGGGCGGGGGCAGGTGCCACCCCGGGGCTGGGGCACCGGCTTCCTGGTACCAATTGGCTTCTCGTTCCCGCAGGGGCTGCGTTTTCCGAAGGCATCTCCAGCGGCTTGAGCACCACGGTCGCCGTCTTCTGCCATGAACTGCCCCACGAGCTCGGTAAGTCTCCTAGCAGCGCGGCACGGCGGGCACCGCCCCCCCCAGCCACGCCAGCTGCCTGGCATCCCACACGCTCTCACCTGCCGCTTCCCTCGCTCCGGCAGGCGACCTGGCCATGTTGCTGCAGGCGGGCCTGCCCGTCAAGAGAGTGCTTCTCTCCAACCTCGTGTCGGCCTTCCTGGCGTACCTGGGCATGGCGGTGGGCACGGTGGTCAGCCAGGGCACCTCGCCAATCACCCCCTGGATCTTCTCCATCACAGCGGGCATCTTTCTCTACGTGGCGCTGGTGGACATGGTAAGGGGGGGGCTGGCTCCGGTACTGCTTCGCCAGGCGGGTGTTGGTCCTGGGCAGCGTCTGCAGCTCGGCTGGGTTCGCGGCAGATCCCGGTGCCAACCCAGTGAGGCTGCCGATGCTGCCCGCCGGGCACCGCGCCGCCCCCTCGCCCGGTGAGTCGTCTCGTGTCTCGCACGGCGATCGGCAGCTCTTTGGCGCGGGGGCGGTTTTGGCTCTGGGTTTGCCCAGCCCCTGGCGCCGCGGGGTCCTGTCCCACGCCTGCGGCTCTGGGGACCGCCAATCATCCCGAAGAACGAGTGTAGGGCCGGCGCCGGATTTGAGAGAGAAAAATCTCCAGGTGGGAACGCTCCGAACTGGGTTTGCTACATCCCGAGAACAGCTCCCCCCAGCGTAACCCTAATGCCACCCCCGTTGCCTGCATCAAGGGCCCAGCCCTGCCTTGAACGGCCGCTTTAGGCTTCCCAGGCGGCACAGGTTTCTCAACTGGCTAGCCAGAGGGCAGGCCGAGCAAGTCAGCGCCTGGCACGGGCCCGCCCAGGGCTCTGGGGTTATCCCCTCCCCGTGTCGGCGGAGCTGTTGGCTCACAGGTTTCTGGTTTCCCTGCAGCTGCCCGAGATGCTGCGGCGAAGCTCCGGCGGGAACAGGAAGGGGCCCGTGACGTATTTCGCCCTCCAGAACCTGGGCTTTCTCCTGGGGGCGGCCATCATGCTGTGCATCGCCCTCTTTGAAGGGCAGATGAGCTTCCGTGTGGATCTGTAACACGGGGGTGGCCACACGGCTCACTGAACTCGGATGGGATGGGGCCGAGGTTCCAGGCACCCCCTGCGCCATGGCTGCTTCGCAGAGAACTAGGACCTCGGACTCTCTTCCTGCTGACGGCGGGTGCGTGACACCCAGGGCAGCCCCCCACTCTCTGTTTGCTCCACATCCCCCGGGGGCAAGCGTGGGTCGTGACTAGGGGGGGCCCGGAGCTGACTGGTGCGGAAGAGGGGCAGCGTTTTGCTGTTCAGTACAGGGAGGAGAGCGTGTGGCCGGCACAATCCCCTACCCCCCTTTCCACGAGGACACTGCCGTTCAGTCTCAGCGTCTGCCCGACGTTTCGGCATGTCGCGTGCACGAGGCCAGGCTGGCCCCCGAGCGAGTCTCGGCCTTTCGGAGAGGGAAACGCAGCCGATCCGTGGGCGATTGTGGGGCGGGGTGTAGGAGACGTCGCTAAAGGGGGCAGAACGGAGCATTTCGGAGGCGGGGGAAGCGCCAGAGTCCGATGGGAGCCAACAGCCCCACGCAGAGGGTGCGTTCATTGCCGGGAGGAGACGTTCATCTGGGGAGCGGACACGGGAACTCTTACCTTCACCACCGTCCGGAGACAAGCGGCAGCGCTCCTCCCTCCTTCCGCTCCACCGCCCGGGACAGAGCCTCCGAAATCTGCTAGGCAGCTAACGGTTTAACCGAACGGAACGAAAAGAATCCACCCCCCTCCCCGCGCCTGCCCACTGAAGCTATGGTTCTGCAGGCTGCTGCGAGTTACCAGACCAGTTTCCCCACCTAGCCTCTGCCAACAGCTTCTGTAAGGACTAAATCCAGTTTAATTGGACTGGGGGGGGGGTCAGGAAACCAGAATTCCGTTCCCAGCTCTGCCACTGACTTTCCAGAGTGAACCTGGACAACTCACCCCCCCGTGCCTCAGTTTCCCCATCTGTAAAACAGACACTATGATTCTGCCCTGCTTTGAGATCTGATCTACGGCTGAAAAGCGCTGCAGGAGAGCCCCCTTCTTCCCCCCGGCGCTAACCCCCAGGGGTGGGCGGTGGGAAAGGAGGACGGGCGAGGAAGTAGAAGCAATAGCATTTTAATAAACATAATTGATTCAAAGCCACAATATGAAGAACAGGACTTGGTTGCAGCATACATTGTATAAAATAGATCAAGTCTGAATGCTTTTATTTTTAGTTCCTCCCACCCCCCCGGCCCCCCCCCCAACTGATGCAGGATTTCTCAAAATACACACATGGAACATCTCCGACAAAAAGGAAACGTGGGAGTGGGGCAAGGCAAAGGGGGGGCATTCACGCTGTGGGGGTGAATGCCTTCTTGGGTGGTTTCCTTATTCAATTTCACAGCCCCACGAGGGGGTTTAACAGCTTTGGGTTTCCCTTGACAAACAGGATTTTGTATTTGTTTAAATTTCCTCCACAGAGACAAGTGGTCAGGACTTGATGTCGGCGCCCCCCTGGGTGCCGGGTTGTATGGGAGGGGAGAGAAACCAGCGTGGCCCAAATCTTGCCAAGCCAGGCACCTGCAGCCTCTCGCCCCCGGGGGGGGACCTAGGAGAGGGTTTCACACCTTTTTTTCCTTTTTTAAATGTTAATTGCACATCAAAACTCTGCTGTATGTCATGCCGCGTCCCCGCAAGGTCCCATGCACCTCTGCCGGTAAAGCAGTCGTCCCGATACTCCACCCGCCCACCCGTCAACCGGCAGGGCAGTTTTTGTGCTTTAAACCAGCCGAGGAAGGAAGAATGAACTGGTTCAGGGGTCTGGGGGGGAGATACAGTTGAAGTCTCTTCCAAAGATTGGTCCAGGCCTTGCCCATATGCCTGCCCTCTGCTGATATTGCGGGGGGGAGGGGCGTGTTTCACAGAGTGCTCCCGCGGGAATACTCTAGCATCTCAGACAGCTCTAGTTCACGCACGCGCCTCTCCCCTACCTGCTGAAATTAAAAGGCGTTCCAATTAAGTTGCCCTGCACCATGACCTCCAATGAAGGCCCCCGTCTATTAGGAACAACACCGCCACCACACGCTGGGTTTTGCTCGGCAGGTTCCAGGTTCAGTGCTCTGAAGGGGAAAAATTCCAGGGAACAAAAAGCCTCTTTTATTTCAAAAACCAAACCAAACCCCAGCAGCTGTTAAACACAATGAGCAGAGGCCAGCGCCGGTGGGGGTCAGTGCTTTCCAGGAAGGGGAACGTGACGCACGGGGGCTGTGGCGAAGGAGAACGTTCTCAGTGGAAGTTTTCCCAGCAGCTCTTTGGCTGGATCAGCCCCGCCCCAGCAACGCAGCCAGCTGCTTGGGATGTCAGGAGTTTGTCAGCCCTAGGATCCGGGGGTGGGATTTCAGAGGCAAGAAAGCATTCTACACGTCCGTGAGCCATTCTGTTTATTGCAAGAGGTAGGTGTGAACAGTGCAGTGAAGTCTAAAATTAAACAGCTTTTTTGTATTTCCAACCATCTCAAATACACAACACCCAACGTCCCCCCCCCCACCGATGACGTAAAATTCACACACGAAGCAGCCACCTCCCCGCCACACGTCCCCAACCCCTTCGCAGTGACCGACCGGGTCCCCACTTGCTAACTTCTAGCGCCAATCCAGTTCAGTCAGGTCCCAAATGGACCTCACTGAACTGAAATGAACATGCTGGGGGAGGGGGGAGAGAAATACATCCAAGCGTCTGCCCTAAGCTCACGCACGCTGGGGACACCTGGTTAAAGTGCACGCCCTCAGGCCGCGCCAGCTTCTGGGGGCCAGGTAGGGAGCCCCTCCTGGTACTCTCAATTTGTGAGGAGTGCTGAGCTAACTCCTCAGGGGGGGATCTGTAAGCCCCCCCGCACAATGACAAACCCTCTCCTTAGAGCTCCCCAGATGGATCTTCCAGCTGGGCCGGCCCAGCGCTCTGGCATCTGGGCAGCCGGAAATGGAAACCACAGAAACACCAGTGTGAAAGAAGCCAGGAAAACAAAGCCTGAGCGCTGAGCCCCCGCAAACCCCACGGCAGCCAACAAGCCACGAAACTGGTGCTAGAAATCACAGGCTGCTTTCAGTCTATTGCCAATAGGTCCCGTGGGTGCTGGCTCCCCGAGCTTCCTTCAGACCGCAGAGGGGAACTTAGTGTCTGAGGTGACACCCCCCTGCCTGTAAATGCAATGAGCCTGTGTGACGCTGCTGGGCCCAGGGTCCTCTGCAACACCACAAGGCCACACCGATCTACCGACCTGGGCTGAGACGCCTGCTTCTGCCTCATCCGCACACGCTGCGGAAACCCCTGGCGCCTCGTCTCCCGCCCGCAGCGCTTATGGGTCAAGGCGGCAGCAAGTCCATTTCAGTCAGCGCCGTCTTTGTCCCCGCTGGGGGCTGGATCCGCCACTCGCCCTCGAGGTGAATTTGCTCCCTGAAGACCAGAACCACCATGGGTCTGGAACACGGATCTTCAAACAGTCCGAAAGATCACCAGCCGGCGAACCAGCTACCAACCAGCTGCCCGGGAGCGCGACGTGCTGACTTCGGGGCCAGGACAGGAGAAGTAGAGGCAAAGGAAGTCAAGGGTCCGGGGTGTAAGGATGAGCTCTCTCCCAGCTGCACTAAGCCAATCCAAGTCCGGATGTGTTAAAAGCACCATCCTCCATGTTACACTGAGCCCTAAAGGCAGAAAATCGGTCGACGCAGGATGCACCTCTCGTGTTAAAGGCAACCACGGTGGCTATCAGCTCATGCCGACGCTGCCTGTGGGCAAAGTTTGGGGGGGAAAAATCCCCCTGCTGCCCATATTAATCAAACTGTATTGACTAGAAACTCACTGAGCGCAGGTCTAAACATCCACGGACAACAACTGCCGGGGAAGGGGAGAGGAATGAGAAATGGTTCCGGGGAGATTCAAGTCAAAACCACATGCCGCGTTTCTGCTCTAGGGCGTGAGGTGTGTCGGCAGAGAGAGAGGGGCCTGGGGAGGGCAGGAGATCCACCCCCCGCCGGCGATGGATAGGCAGCATCACACGTCATGCATCTCACACCACACAGCACGTTCTATGAAACGGACGCACAAGACGCGTTTGTTACAGGACATAAAGAACACACCTAACCACTGTACATGCTGTCACACACCACACAGGGGTATTGTCGGGGGATGTCCGGAGAGCGATGTGTATTGTATTCACCTTGGACGCACCAATACAAGTGCAAACTAGAGGGTTTCAGCGCGCCTTGAAGGGGATAAGAGACTGGACTCCAGCAGCGAAGGCTCAGTGAATTGGGACTGAAATTATCCGAGTTCTACAGCGAACGTTACCGTTCCGACAGGCAGGCAGGGGCTTCCTTCCCAGCCCGCCTTCCTCTCCACCCAAATTCCCAGCCAGCACCTGCACTTTCAGAGAGAACTTTCGTGAATCCCCTACTGCTGCCCCAAGTAGAGCGCGGAGCGAAGAACCCGCAAGATTCAGCCGACGTCTATTGCTTTAGCGAGAGAGACGTTGGAGGCGACAGTTCCGGCAGACTGCCCCCTCCCGCCCCAGTTTGGCACATCTGCGACAAACAGAACAGAAGGAAATAAAGTTACTCCCATTTCTCCTCCCCACCCCCACCTTCTCTCCTGTTTTCAGATCAACTTATTTAGCAGGAGTAACTACTGCAACCAAGCTTGGAGAATTCCTTAAAAATCCAGTTCCTAACAGGCCTGCAACAGAGCAGCTACGGTGCGGAGCAGAAAAAGGGGCTGGCCGGAGGGTCATTTAACCAATACTGACACTACAAAGCAAGATTTTTGGGTTGGGGGAGAGACGGGACAGAAAAATACACAGAGATTGTCAAGACCGAACTGGTCCAAAAGCAGAAATTCTGAAGGTAGGTCGCTAGAGATCAACAAACCCAATGGGAGACGGGGTGTAATTCATTTTTCCTAAGCAGACAGACAATGAGCGTAAACTTTATAACTCTCCTCTCCACACAGGTGCACAAGAAAGAAAAGGACAGTGAAGAACTAACCGCCTGAATTAAAGAGAGGTCCTGAAAGTGCTTTGACTTGGAATCTTACTTTATATCTAAGCAAGTTACTGGCAAGATGTGCATGGGGCAAGATTCCAATCTTCCAGCAGACGGATTGGAGAATCCAGGGCATTCGGTTACCCTT